ATCAATTAAAGCCTTCCCTTTGTGATATGGAACCTTGTGGTACAATGTCAGAGAGATCCATACACTTACACACAAGTTATTGTCTGGAAGTTACAAAAATGCTTATTTTTGGCCCCTTTTTGGCCCCTAATTCCTTAACTGTTGGTACCATAACCCCCAAAATCAATCCCAACCTTCCTTTCGTGGTATTGAACCTTATGGTAAAATTTCATGGAGATCCATTCACTTAAACTAAAGTTAGAGTGCGAAAACCAATGTGTCTTCGGACGACGCCAGACGACGACGACGACGCCAACGTCATACCAATATACGACCAAAAAATTTTTAATTTTTGCGGTCGTATAAAAAGGAAAAAAAGGAAAAAAAAAGGAAAAAAAAAAAAATCCCCCCCCCAAAATTTTTTGAACCCCCTTATGATTCATCACCCCCAAACTCAATCCCAGCCTTCCCTTTGTGGTATGGTACCTTGCAGTACAATTTCAGAGAGATGCATACACTTGAACACAAGTTATTGTCTGGAAACTAGAAAAATGTGTTTTTTGGCCCCTTTTTGGCCCCCAATTCCTAAACGTTTCGGGCAATTACCCCCAAACTCAATTCCAGCTTTCCCTTTGTGAAATGGAACCTTGTAGTACAATTTTAAAAATATCCAAACACTTACACTCAAGTTATTGTCACGAAACTAGAAAAATGCTTGTTTGTTGCCCCTAATTCCTAAAATTTTGAGGCAATTACCCCCAAAATCAATCCCAGCATTCCCTGTGTGATATGGAACCTTGTGGTACAATTTCAGAGAGATCCATACACTTGAACACAAGTTATTGTCTGGAAACTAGAAAAATGCTTATTTTTTGCCCCTTTTTGGCCCCTTATTCCTAAACGTTTCGGGCAAATACCCCCAAACTCAATTCCAGCTTTCCCTTTGTGATATGGAACCTTGTAGTACAATTTCAGAAAGATCCATACACTTTCACACAAGTTATTGTCATGAAACTAGAAAAATGCTTGTTTTTTGCCCCTTTTTTGGCCCGTAATTCCTAATATTTTGAGGCAATTACCCCCAAAATCAATCCCAGCATTCCCTTTGTGATATGGAACCTTGTGGTACAATGTCACAGAGATCCATACACTAACACACAAGTTATGTCTGGAAGTTACAGAAATGCTTATTTTTGGCCCCTAATTCCTTAACTGTTGGTACCATAACCCCCAAAATCAATCCCAACCTTCCTTTTGTGGTATTGAACCTTATGGTAAAATTTCATAGAGATCCATTCACTTAAACTAAAGTTAGAGTGCGAAAACCAATGTGTCTTCGGACGACAACGACGCCAACGTCATACCAATATACGACCGCAAAAATTTTTGCGGTCGTATAATAAAATAGCTGGTCAAACATAGTTTATATTTTAATTAATTTTCTTCGTCCGCCATTTAAATATTTGTATGAACTACAGATCGGAGGCGGGATTTATCGGAAGTGGACCAGCTATGACCAGAATCAGTATTCTTACGATAATAACTACGGATGAACGAATTGCATAGCTGACTGAAGAATACTGATCCCAATAGGAAAAAATATGCATTTCACACGCATAATCAGACTTTTGTTTAGATCTACTTGCTTAATGTATATATTTCCATGTATATGCATTGTTTTGATTTATTGATTAAAGTTGCTTAACTTTGTTAAATTTATATATTTTGTTAATGACGAATTTCATAAACATGATAAACAGAAAAGTTTTTTTTTTTGAAACATTATCGATTTTTCATACTAATCAAAACTATATCAGCTATATTCTTAAATTTATTTTAATTTTATATAGATAACAACAGTTCGAAATCCGTCATATATTCACACCCAACCCAATGTCTGGACTGACTGAATAGTATAAATAGAAAATATAAACAAACAGCTGATTTTTTACATAATCAGTGTTTATGTTCATCCCATGCATCGTAAAATCATAACTCAAACGATCGCCTGGTTCCCTATTAAATTGTCTAGTTTTTAAATTGGTAGAGGTACAAATCCATATTGTACAAATTCCTTATCTATAGAGAAAAAACGGATGGCCGCCATACCATGCTAAAACCCCCAGTAGGAAATGTCACATGGGAAACATTTATGACAAATTCAGTGGCGAAAACATTCCTCATTCATTTCTCATTCATGCGTACACTACATCTTCAGCAACTCTTAAATATACATGTATCTCAATCTTCTATTGATGACAATCCAATTATAAACAAAACTACTGCATGAGGTTAATGCAAATTTAGAACGCAGCCATTAAATCCGCTAAAGGTAAAGTTATCTTCCTTGTGGAGATTGTTATGGGAAAATATTCTCAAAGTTAGCGATTGTAAGTTGGTTTCCTAAAGGATAATTGCAAATGTTTTCAGACAAATAATTTTGTAAGTACAGATTTTGATATAAACAGATTTCGCAATATGTCAAATGTAAAAGAATCTGCACACAAAAACAAGACGAAAATTGCAACCATTTCAATCTTCATACGAAAACCACAGGCTCACCAGCCCAGGCTTGTAAATTTGCTGTCATGTCTGTAAAAATCATCTCTACAGGCATTAGAATCTAATTAATTTTTTTTTATAAAATTCAGCTATAGACGACATTCTAATTCATGCATTTTCCCGTACATTTCCTACTTAACAATGCTCATGTTATTACGCCACAGTTAGAATTGTTCTCGGGTCAAATAGTGTAACCAGAGATATAATAGCCATAGATAAAGTACTCAGAATATGTTCCACTAAGCCCAATGTAGTTTCCTTTGAAATATTAAAAGCACGGCACTGCGCATAGTGGCCTGTGATGTAGATGATATTTGCCGACATCCTCCCAATAGACCAATTACTTATCATAATTATATTTATCAGCCAATAATTAATGTGCGTTACCTGTCTCAAGTAAAAATATGCCAGGAGGCGGAAGCAATAAGAAGCGTCTGATTGTAAAAGTTGTTAGGATTGTAATTTTTTTGGAGAAAATTGGTCAACAAATGAGAAGGTTATGCGGTTGTTGAAATAATAAAATAAGAGAATCATGGAAAATGGACTTAACAGGTATATAAAATTAAATTGTCATAGCACTTGCATTGGTTGCACTCGGGAAATAAGACCTGTATGATTGACAAGAGGAGACATATCGTTTACTGATGGTATGCATGGTTAAGAGGTCGAACCAAGTCCAATTTTTCTATGGCGATTTAAAGAAAAAAGTTTTTATTGAGATTCTAAATAGTGAAATCCTATTTTATGCCATATCGAGTAGTCTTGTATAAATACAAAGAGACAAGGAGTAAAGTGTCATTTGTATGTATGTATCTCCTTCTTTTTTCTTTCTCGCATTGCTTTATAAAATTTTCAACTTTCAGGAACTTCCATGTAAATGATGTACATGAAGATTACACTAACTACCGAAGAATGACATATTACTCTCCCTGTTTACAATTTATTAGATATTAATCGACGACAATTGCCAATAAAGGCTAATCAACACAAAGTGTGACATGTATATAATAAGAGGGTGATAAAATTTCGACAAATATCATCTGCTCTTGATGTGGGTTCAGTACTTTATCTATGCCTATTATATATCTATGGTATAACTCATTCATAAATAAATGGGGAGTGTGTCCATGGGACAGGGATGATGCCGCCGCTTGCATATCATATAAAGTTATAAAGGAACATAACTGAAGAATGGTAAAAATGACGCTACCCAAATTTGTACTCAATCTGAGTTTTGTGGTAATAATTATTGTGTTTAAGTTTCATAAAATTTGGTTGAGGCAAACATAAGTTAGAGAACGGAAACGAAAAATTCAGCAATTTTTCCATTTGTAAAGGGGCGTAACTCTAGAACAGTAACAGTGACATCCCCAAAATTCAAACTTGATCTGTATTTTGTGGTAATAAGCATTGTGTATAAGTTTCATAACATTTGGTTGAGTCAAACTAAAGTTAGAGAACGAAAACCAACTTTGGGACGTTCAGACGGACAAGGGTAAAACTAAATGCCCCCTCCGCAAAGGCGGGGCATAAAAACAATTCGAGAATAGTGTATGGGCCTGTAAATTCAAAAGTTTATCATGAAGACTCAGTTTGTGCCAAATGCCGTCAGTACAACAGCCCCGACAGATGAAATAGATGCAGGTCCGCCAAATCGTATGTCTATTACGATCAGTAGTTGAATGTTTTCACCGTCTCAGTTCTGTGACTTATTATTGTATTTTGATAAGCGTGCTCACAGATCGATAGAAATGATTACACAGGATAAAATGTTTACTATGAAGTATGTTCAAGGGGCTATCCCCTGTAAGCCCTTGAAACATAATGTGACTGACGAAGGAAGCAAGCATGATAAAAAGCGCAAATATGAGGAGCACATTTAAAAACATAAACAACACAATAAGCTTTAATGATTTTTTTTCTTCGGACAAACAAAAATCTGTTTGGTCAGACAAAACCTACAACCCTGTCTGACCAAATGTCAGACAGAAACCAAAAGAGTTTGGCACAGACTGGAAGACTGCCATTTAAAATGTTGTCGCACAATAAAACACCCCTGGAGATTTTTGTATGTATATAAGAGAATAAATCTTTGAATATAGCATTTTGTGAAGAGAGGCTAAATAACAAAAGAGAACTGTCACCATGACAAAGAATATGAAGTGAATTATATATATTATATACAAGGAATCATGTATACTTGATTTTAAAATGCACTATACTCTAGTGCAAAATAACCAAGCACACCAGTAATTTATAAACATATAAAACGCTAGACCACGTTTATTTTATGGAAATGTATTCTTTAAAGAATTTATACATCAGTATAAAGAATATTTTGGGCAAAAAAACATGGCGGATAATTTTTTGACAAGCAAAATGTAGGTCATGTCTGCAAGTCTTACAAGTTCTATTAGGCTCTAGGAAATTATTTATTTCACATTTATTAGACATCTTACCTTAAAACAAAGAGCTAAAATCACATACGCTGTCAAGCGATATATTATTAAACGCAATAACCAGCGTCTTATTTGGATACAGAAATGTCAAAACAAATCGTTTGCAAACAACGAATCAAAACAGAAAGTTTTTGTAATGATGCGACTGTTTTACGTTCCAAAAGTAAGCACACTTGATCTTCTGTGTATAAGAAAGCTTGTCAACACCATGTCATTAACATGAAATGAGTTATTAAACAAATATAAATGAATGTTTTGGTTAGCTCAGGTACGACAACTTCAAAGAATAGCCGCCATTACCGGAGGATACGGGGTTCCCATTTGGAAAGTCAACGCTTAATTTCCGCTTATTTTTTTCGTCAAATAAAATAAAATTTAGCATATTTTCAGATTTAGAATTAAAAGTTGACATCTGACAATTAATATGTGTAAATTCCAAATTCATTCGTAAATTTGTTGATATATTTTCACGGAAGTCAAAAACAAACATGCGCACTATGTTCAAGCACTTGTCAATGAACTACATGTAAACATACACGATAATTTTTTGCTGTATTTAACATCAAATAATGATAGATCCGTCGTCGAGTGAGGAAGAATCGGATCAAGAAACAAATGAAGATGAAAACTCAGATGGACACAGTTTGCACAACAGTACAGAGCGTGGAAGTTTATCTGCAAGTGGGGATAACTTGAGTGTTACCGGCCCACAGAGGTCCAACAGTATCCGACCATCTAGTCCAAGTCCTTCGCTTGTAAGTGACAGGGAAAAAGTTGAAGACACTGAAAAATTAGAGAGAGAAGAAGAAGAAAGAAAAAAGCGGTTACAACTGTATGTTTTTGTCATGCGATGTATTGCCTATCCTTTTAATGCTAAACAGCCAACAGACATGGCAAGAAGGCAAACTAAAGTGACTAAGCAACAACTTCAAACAATTAAAGAAAGGTTTCATGCATTTCTCAATGGAGAAACTAGTATTGTTGCAGATGAAGCATTCACAAATGCTGTTCAGAGTTATTATGAAGTCTTTCTGAAAAGTGACAGAGTTGCCAATATGGTTCGAAGTGGTGGTTGTTCTGCAAATGATTTTAGAGAAGTGTTCAAAAATAACATTGAAAAAAGAGTAAGAAGCCTTCCAGAAATTGATGGATTAAGCAAAGAAACAGTATTAAGTTCATGGATGACAAAATTTGATGCAATATTTCGAGGAGAAGAAGACCCAAGAAAGCAACCACAACGAATGACAACTGCAGCCTCTGAGCTAATTCTTAGTAAAGAGCAGTTATATGAAATGTTCCAGAATATATTAGGGGTGAAGAAATATGAGCACCAAATTTTGTACAATGCATGTCAGGTTTGTACATTGTATGTATTGTTTGTCAAGTTAGGGAGATTTTTTTGCAATGGGATGGACAGGTAGTCCATTTTTTATCAAGCCATGCTGGATCTATATGTACATGTGTATGTGATCACTCCGGATTTTAAGATGTTGCCAATTCTGAGATAAAGACATATGAATCTTATTCTGTGTTTTATGACTTGGAGAAAGTTTATACATGTACTCCATTTTAATCATCTACTGATAACTTTTGATGTGTTACAGGGTTTCGCCTGGGTCAATTTTCTTTTTATTTCACCACCTCTTTCGCCAAAACAATATATTTTTCACCAAATAACATAAACATGTTTTTGTTTGAATATTTCTATCTTTCTAACAAAAAAAATTAGTTTGTCACATTGTTGTCTATTATAATTCTTTATATCTATTTTTTAATCTACATTGTAATGAATAAACACTCAATGATAACAAACATTTACTTTTGAAAAGATACTGTAAAATTGCAATATAGATCATGAAATCATTATTTTTGACATCTGCTGAGGAACATAGGATGCATTAGGTAGCACTCCACAGTTAGGTGTGTAGTTTCGCATTTTGGCCCCTGTGGATTTTTCAAATATGATAGCTAGTGTAGAATAAAATTCATTTTTGGATAGCTGAAGATTAAAATAGCCTTCATAGTGGGTTTATAGGAACATCAAGATTATTTAATGTATGTAATATGGGCTGTTTTCTGTATGACAGTCCGTATTTTCATATCCATACCAAATATTGGTTTGGCAATTATTGTAATGTTTTTTTCCAACTTTATGTCGCACGAACTTTGCAATTAAATTTTACGAAAAAATGAGGCAAAAGACACCCATTTTTTATTTGATCATTTGGTAGATTAATATCAACAGTTTCTGAAAAGGTATCACTGAAAGGCATTGAAATTCTAGTTTGAACTAAATCTTGGGGGAATATGTGACTTTTTTACCCCCCTTTTTGTAATATTTTATGGTAAATGAATGCAGAATGTTGCCATGGATACACAAAAAAGGAATTATATTTCACCATTTTAACTTTTAAAAACCAAATCTATGGAAGATACTGATTACATACATATGCACATGTATAACACAAACAGTTAGGTTAATGTATTAGAAAGCCAGGAATAGAAGATGATAAAACATTTTGTGGTTCAATTTTAATGTTTTTTTCTAACTGTGGAGTGCTACCTTACATTAAGTTTATCGGATACTTCCAGTCTAGTTGAAGGATAAAGACTAAAGTCAGAGAGATTTTCTTACCTTTGAATATTTTTCTACTTAACAATAGTTTTCTTTTCTAGACCATCGTTAAAAGAAAAAGTTTGGATGTAAAACTATGCCTCAAACATGTGCGTTGCTAAAACGATTGTGAAGTACCCACTCCAGACTCCGGCCATCGGGGTGATCTTACAATGACACACCGTGTCTTCATGGGATAACTATTACGAACTAACTCATCTTAAAATGCAATCTTAATTAACCACTGTTAATATCTCTTGTGTTACATAATTGAATAGACACTTTATTTCACAGACAACTTAATACACAATTCTTGACCTCAATAGTATACCTATTACTACTTTTGATCTGCACTACATAAAATTATTCTGTTAATTGAATGATTAAAGATTGATAAGATATGTAAGATGCATATTTTTCAAAGAAACGACAAAAAATGTATAAAATAATGTGAGCAGATTCTATTTCACTCGTAATATATATCAGTGTCATAATCATCTGACAATCATATATTAGTCAATAATTTAGGTTAATTTAAGTTACAATTATCAGCTATTTTCTTGAAACATTATTAACAAAATTGCACAACTCTAACCTGAGCATTTTCTGCAATAAAATTTATTTGTTTATTCCCCACAATATTGCTATTTAACAATATAAGGTATTTGTACATGTACATTTGAATACACTAAGGAAATATATATATTTTTTTCTTAGTAAAGAATGAACACCAATTTAAATAAAAGTGTATTTCAATGTCTCTATCTGGAAATTATTAAGTCAACTTCAATGTAAAAAAAATTATTACAACTTTGAAGATTTCCCTTTCTTTCCCTGTCAAAATCGTGTATATCATTAAAATGAAAAATATTCTAAAAAAAGATCTATGTAAAAATCATTGTACCTTCTAAATTTAAATATCAAAAGAATTTACATCAATATCATGAATATTAAGAAATCTCAATCTTTGGGCAATTGAATTAAAATTTTGTTGAAATATTATAGAAATGAAATAACAGAAAAAAATATTGAAACTGAGATCAGAAAAATGTCTGACTAGCTACAAAATAGGTTGGATCACAGCACAGACAGCTTATTAGTATTTAAATTTACATGTCAATTGTACAAAGGCTTCTACTTTTTACCAATGTTAGATGTGCACAACCATAAAGCTCAAATTCTTGATTACAAAAATAGAGTAGCACTAGGCAAGAAGGGCTGAATGTCTTCCAATATCCAGGTTTTTATATGACCATGACCTCATTTTCATGGTTCTTTAGTCAATGTTAAGTTTTCCTGGTTTTGCCAGTTTTTATACGACCGCAAAAAAAATTTGCGGTCGTATATTGGTATGTCGTCATCGTCGTCATCCGTAGACACATTGGTTTTCACACTCTAACTTTAGTTCAAGTGAATGGATCTCTATGAAATTTTACCATAAGGTTCAAAACCACAAAAGGAAGGTTGGGATTGATTTTTGGGGTTATGGTACTAACAGTTAAGGTATTAGGGGCCAAAAAGGGGCCAAAAGTAAGCAATTTTGTAACTTACAGACATAACTTGTGTGTTAGTGTATGGATCTCTCTGACATTGTACCACAAGGTTCCATATCACAAAGGGAATGCTGGGATTGATTTTGGGGGTAATTGCCTCAAAATTTTAGGAATTGGGGGCAAAAAACAAGCATTTTTCTAGTTTCATGACAATAACTTGTGTGTAAGTGTATGGATCTTTATGAAATTGTACTACAAGGTTCCATATCACAAAGGGAAAGCTGGGTTTGAGTTTGGGGGTATTTGCCCTAAACGTTTAGGAATTGGGGGCCAAAAAGGGGCAAAAAACAAGCATTTTTCTAGTTTGCAGACAACAACTTGTGTTCGTGTATGGATCTCTCTGAAATTGTACTGCAAGGTACCATACCACAAAGGGAAGGCTGGGATTGATTTTGGGGATGATGAATCATAAGGGGGTTCAAAAAATTGGGGGGGGGATTTTTTTTTCCTTTTTAATTCTTTAAAATTTTCCATTTTAAATTGGTTATTTCTGATTTATATATAAAAGCAAATAATAATGATATGGTTTGAATAGGTAAATTAAAAATTTTTAAGTTCTCAGACCACATTCATTCTGTGTCAGAAACCTATGCTGTGTCAAATATTTAATCACAATCCAAATTGAGAGCTGTATCAAGCTTGAATGTTGTGTCCATACTTGCCCCAACTGTTCAGGGTTCGACCTCTGCGGTCGTATCAAGCTGCGCCCAGCAGAGCATTTGATTTAGATACTACATGTATAAGCAATAGGTCAACTATATTTGGTGTATGAAATGATTGTAAGATTACATGTCTGTCTGGCAGGGTTCACATGACCTTGACCTCATTTTCATGGTTCATTGATCAATGTTAAGCTTATGTGCACGTGGTTTGGTCTGTTTTCAGGTACTATAAGCAATATGACCACTCTTTCTGTATTTGATGTATGGAATGATTCTTAGGTGTACGTGTCTGACTGGCATGGTTAATCTCCTTGACTTCATTTTCATGGATCATTGATAATGTTAAGTTTATGTGAATCACAGTGATATTTGTGCATGTATAGTATTCCGTAAAATATTGTATCTTTTACTGAAAACACAGGATTTGTATGCTTGTTACAGTTGCAATAAGTCAAACCTGCCCATTGTATTGGTTTAAATTCAATTAAAGAAAGTGAAGAGGTATTTACATGTATAAAGATAGTAAGCAAAAATTTAATTGATTATTTTTGCTTAAGAAATTGAAAAACATAGTTGGAACATTGTCAACCAATTTAGTCAATGAACATGTAGGTCAACTATATTTGGTGTATGAAATGATTGTAAGGTTTTATGTCTGTTTGGCAGTGTTCACATGACCTTGACCTCATTTTCATGGTTCATTGGTCAATGTTAAGTTTATGTGGTTTGGTCTGTTTTTCAGGTACTATAAGCAATATGACCACTCTTTCTGTATTTGGTGTATGGAATGATTCTTAGGTGTACATGTCTGTCTGGCATGGTTCATCTTCTTGACTTCATTTTCATGGATCATTGATAATGTTAAGTTTATGTGAATCACAGTGATATTTGTGCATGCATAGTATTCCGTAAAATATTGTATCTTTTACTGAAAACACAGGATTTGTATGCTTGTTACAGTTGCAATAAGTCAAACCTGCCCATTGTATTGGTTTAAATTCAATTAAAGAAAGTGAAGAGGTATTTATAAAGATAGTAAGCAAAAATTTTAATTGATTATTTTTGCTTAAGAAATTAAAAAACATAGTTGGAACATTGTCAACTAATTTAGTCAATGTACAGTACGGTATTACTACAAAATGTATTAACAAATATTTGTATCATTAGAAATGATTTTCAGCACTTAAATTATAAAAAAACCTAAAACAACAGGAGTTTCTCTTCATGAATTATGATTGTTTACATTGCCTTTTGGAACATTACCATGATGGCATGTTTCTGGTGTTTGAAATAAACTAATACATGCACATGATGCTGAAGGATCAGAAATTTTTGAACAGTTTGTTTGACACATATGCCATCAAGTTAAGCCAAGTTTATGCAAATTAATTTATTCTGTCGATCTAGGGCAGGTTTACTATTTGAAAGATAATCTCTTTTTTCATTTTGATTTCATTATGCTCTGGGAGCATATAGCATGTATACTATAGTAATCTCTGTGTCTGTCCATCTGTGTGTTAGAAACA